AAATCTGCTTGAAAACCAAAGTGGCATCCCCCACCATTTCTTCAAAGGAATTGCTGTAATGGACAAAGTTCTTCCACTATTCAGCCAGAGCCTGCCTCTGAAACCCTCAGCTTCTTAGAATGAATCCTGACTTTTGAAAGTAACTGAAAACAGATATTTGTCCTTTTCTGTGTGACAGCCACTTCAGATATCTAAAAACAATTCCCTAGATTTCTTTTTTTCTTCCTCGTTATGTTTATCGACTATAGTGGCATTTATAATTGATGATATGACTCAACTTTTTGGGGAATCTTAAAAGGTATGTACTCAAAACTAACTGTAGTTGAGCGCAAACCGGCTAGCAAAGAAATGGAATTGTTATAACCCCACATTTTGGCTAGTTCTCTGAAGGATTTATGAATGAAACTATTAATAATGTATAACATAAGGAAATGGGTGTGCAACTACAAAGTGAAGGGGGTGGGGGAGAAAGGGCAAAATGAATAGCTTAATTACCCAGTTTCCATGTTATATTCTCTTGTCTTTCAAGTTTCACCTGTTTTAGTGCCTGACTGGGGTAGGTGGTTTAGCCTAGTTTATTGTTACTTGTAGAACCTTGGTCCAATCAATGTTGCTTGAATATTGCACTTAACATTATACGAACCCAATCCTTATTTTGCAATGTTTTTTTATGAATATCTGATGCTAGCCAACAAAGTATTGGGCTTTATAAAGGTCCATTAGCCTTTCATCACTGGAATTGCCTGAGCCATCTTCTCAAAATCAAGATGGTCTGTCCCAATTGACATTGGGCAGATAGCAGCTAGAATCACAGCAGAGGCACAGAGGCAGAGGAATGAGTTGAACCATCCAGCAGACACCTCTTGAAGTATATATTTCTCCTTCCTACAGTAATATATTGTACAAATATAGCATGCCATTTGTTCTTCTTCCTCGAGTTTAGATTCTCAGAAAAGTTAAAAGCCATGTTGACACTGTATCCTGTCAATGTGGTATTTATAAAATACACAAAGCATTCACATTTCTCATTTAATTTGCTCCTCTTAGGTTAGACATTGCATGGCTGAAATCAGGGGTTGGGAGGGGAGGGGAAACAGAAGCATACATGTGAATGGTTTAGAAGTGAATGCATAGGAAAAGCTTACATGTAGACAACTCAAAGGCTGGCTCAGCATCTCTGGGACCAGATCCTTTGGAGAATTTTTGACTGCTAAGGCTTGAACAAGTGGTTTGAGCGATATAAGACTTGGTCGGGTTCTGTTTATTGTGAAATTAGCTTTGAGCTGAAGTCAGTTTCTGATGAGTTAACATGGTCTAGCCATGAGTTTTCCTGGCATGACATAGAAGTGTTCTGGCATAACACCAGTGACTCTGGGTGGCATACATCACAGAATATAAAAACCAAAACAATTAAAGCAATACACAATAAATATATATGGTAACCATAAGCGTTGATGCAACCAGGAAACAGAAACCTTAACACACTCAGGGCCCTAGGTTAGCCACACAACAAAGTCTTCATGGCCTTATGAAAGGCCAGCAGGTTTGGGGTCATTCTAATGCTCATTCTAATGACTCCAACCAGTCTGGAGAATTCTGGGAGTTGGAGTCCACAAGTCTTAAAGTTGCCAAGTTTGGGGACCCCTGCTCCAGAGGATAGGGGCTACAGCAGAGAAGGCACATCTCCTGGTCCCTGTACACCGACATTCCTTGACTGATGGGGACCCATAACATCCCCAACATAACACTTAACAGATAATCAGAGTTGGAAGGGACCTTGTAGGTCATCTAGTCCAAACCCCCGCCCAAGTGGGAGAGCCTACACCATTTCTGACAAATGGCAGTCCAATCTCTTCTTGAAAGTCTCAAGTGATGGCGCTCCCACAACTTCCGAGGGCAAGCTGTTCCATTGGTTGATTGTTCTGTCAGAAAGTTTCTCCTTATTTCCAGGTTAAATCTCTCCTTGTTCAGTTTTCATCTATTATTCCTTGTCTGGTCTACAGGCACTTTAGAAAATAGCTTGGCCCCTTCCTCTTTGTGGCAGCCCCTCAAATATTGGAATACCGCTATCATGTCTCCCCTGGTCCTTCTCTTTACTAGACTAGCCACCGTTCATCGTATGTTTTAGCCTCCAGTCCTCCAGGTTGCTCTTTTCTGTACTTTTTCTAGCGTCTCAACATCTTTTTTATAATGTGGTAAACAAAACTGGATGCAGTACTCTAGGTGTGGCCTTACTAAGGTTTATAGCGTGGTATTAGTACTTCCCTTGATCTTGATTGTATCACATATCAGATCAAATTGGATATTTTGAAATAGCACCAGCACTAGTGTTTAAGGCTTATATACCGCTTTATAGTGCTTTACAGCCCTCTCTAAGTGGTTTAAAGAGTCAGCCTATTGCCCCCAACAATTTGGGTCCTCATTTTACCCACCTCGGAAGGATGGAAGGCTGAGTCAACCTTGAGCCTGATGGGATTTGAACTGCCAAATTTTAGGCACACTGGCTACAATGACTAGGAGAAGATGGTCTTTTAAATAACTTGCCCTCAAACTAGGAAGGGCTATAAAGATGAGAACCAGCATCTTGAATTGCACCTGGAAACATGCTGGTAACCATTGCAACTCATGAGGCAGTGGTGTTATATGTATCAAATATCTGACATCCTTTATTACCTGTGCAGCTGCGTGCTGAACCAGTTGAATTTTCCGAATGCTGTTCGAGGGCAGCCCCATGCAGACAGCCTTGCAGTAATCCAGATGAGTTGAGTGACTGTGAGCAATGCCTCCCAATCGCAACTGGTGCATGTCCCTAAGTTGTGTAAAGGTCCTCCTCTCAGCTACAGCTATCACATGCTTTTCTAGCAGGAGCCATGAGTCCAAGAGACCCCTCCCCAGATTGTAAACTGGGTCTTACCTTAGTTTTCTTGATTCAGCCGAAGTTCATGTACTTTTTCCCAAATTTTTTAAAATTCCTTTGCAGTTCAGCTGTCTCCAGCTGTTTCACTGATACATTTCTTTATGTTGGATTATAATGTAACTCTTCAACTAACCGTGGAACTAGAAAGTCACATATTATGAGCTAGTGGACCATTAGCACATTGAAATAAAATGATTTTTCAGAATATATTGGAACAAAAGGCAAGTTAGAACCAAGTGTATCTTTGGGGACAACATGTTCCATAACGTGTTATGGAACAGCCCTTTGTTATGGCTATCCCATTCCTTGCCTTGCGTTTTGCTTGCAAAGAATTTTTATGTCTATTTTAGGTTTTCTTGCCTGAATTAATGCTGTTCATTAACAATGATTTCTTACGTTTTGTAATAGGTTTCCTAACTTACTACACTCATTTTGACAGATAGTTGCAGTTCCATTAAGCCAAAATATTCTAGTGTGCATGTTTTCTTATTCTTTGAAGTTTTTAAATCTTTTACCTTCCAAAAAGAAAGCTCTTTACTTGGAGCCTAATGTGATTTTGTTGGATTTCTGTGGCAATTTTTCTGCTCACATATAAATTAACTTTATACTTCCAACCAATACTGTTCACAACTTCTTGTAAGTCCTGGACACCATTAAATTCATATCCAGGATTGTATCCATCTGGGTTATTTCATCTGACCGTTTAAGACCCTGATAAAGCAACTGCTTCTTCAGAGACAGAAAATAAGGCATCAGAGTTTTGACATAGGGAAGGGAGGTCCTCTTGTTTCAGCCCCATCCACTAATTCTGAAGAATATTTGTAGAAAAACATTAGCTCACTCCTGTTCTAAAGCAATTCAAAGATTTCGAAAAAATACTAATTTATATACTGTCATTTGACCAAGAGCTCAAGGTGGTATACATAGCATTTCCTTCAATTTTGCCCCATAAACCTCTGATAAGATTGGGTTATGAATAATTCCTGACTACGGTGTACTTAAATCTGGCTCTCCCTGGTTAGTCCATTATTTTAACTATTATACCATGAAAATACACATCTAGCCAATCTTCTTCAGAGTAACAGAAATCACTCTTATTTAACACCTTCTCATCTGGATGCAACTGATTTTATTCTGTTTGAAAATTGCAACAGGTTTTTAGTCAAATGAAAGGTGCAATACTGTTTGTTTAGGACTTCGCATTGTTATTCCTTCTTTTGAAGTTTCTACTCTGATGTATAGAGACAATGCTCTTCTGAATGCTCATGTTTATCCTTTGCATAGTTTTATTAAATGCTACACACCATTCATTTTTGGCCCAGCCTTACCATATCTACACTTTCTTCTCATGTTCCAATTTTCAGAATGGGCATAATAAAATATCAGCTCTTTTCTTTTGTGTCTTTATCAAACTTCCCAATTATAGTATCTGGATTAAAAAAATCCGTACACAGACAGAAGAAACAAGTAAAAGTGAAAGAAAATTACTTTGAGCCATTTTTTAAATACAAAAGCAAGGTATTTGATCCATCACCAAGCAACCTTATCTACTAAATCGACCAGGAGCAAATGAAAGGAAAATTCTAAATTACTGCTTAAAACATTTGGGAAATCTAAGGAAAGATATTGAATTTCCTCACATTTTCTCTTACTCTTTCTACAACCTAGCTAAATGCCAAGAAGGGAATAGTGAATGGAACTCTTGTCTGAATTAAGACAAGTATGGTAATGAAGAAAGGCTGAAGGCAGCAAAAATGGTATGTGTTGGCGATGTAAAATTGCTGAGTTCAGAAAAGGTGTTAAAAATTATTGGCACATGGTTTGTCTGGAGGCGTATGTGGCTTTTCTCTTCCCCCCATTGAAAGCTATACCAAATCATTCCTGAATAGGGCAGCCTCCAAATCAAATCAATAAAAAAATTTGCTGCGCGGACCCTAAATGATTGCTTTAAATGAAATGTGACATGTCTATTGGAGCAATAGGCTTTCTCTCTATGAATCTCAGAAAAATGTTCACTATTCAGCTGTTCTTTCAAGAAACTGTTTGTATATCAGTAGAAAAAGAAAAGCTACACCATGGGCAATTCACTTCAAAAAGTATTTTAATTTAGAAATGCAGTTATATACATAGAATTGAAATTAAATTAAATTTTGTACAAATATTAAAATACTATCATCACACCCACTGCAATGTCCAGGATGGGTCTATATATATATACACACACACACATACACACACACACATACACACACACACACACACGTATATATAGATCCATCCTGCACAGTATTATAGAATCTTTAAAATCCCATATATATATATATATATGGATATAGATATATATATACGAGTACCATTCTGTAAATAAATTCCAATAAATTCCTAAGTGATGCAGTTCAGATTACAAATAAAAAGCACTGAAGGCAACCAGGTTTTCCTCTTTTGTATCTCCAGCTACCTACAGCCTGTCATCTGCATTACAGTGTAAATATGCGCCTGAATGTTTGTTCTAACAGGATGTTTAGTCTGAACTCTGTGAACTTCCATGAAAAATGAAGCATAAGTCAAATTTCCAGCAGAAATTGACAGCTATGTTCCTTAGCTCACCAGCTAGAAAATGATTTACATTAACACAGAGGTTTTTAATTATCCAATGATATTTCCTCTGGAATCTTAACAACATGAAAGAGGTGATCAAGTTCAAAAATACTTAAAAAGCATCGAGGAAAAGAAGCAGACATGGGTTTGAAATCCGTAAAATACCACTAAATGTGGTGTGATGTGCCATTTAATGATTTCCAACTTGCCCCTCTTCAAAGCACATTACTCCTTTTGGGAGTGTGTGTGATACACATATAAGAGTAATAATGGAAACTGAAATCTGATTCACAGCATTGCGATTGCATCTACTGTATACAGTAGTTAACATTAAAACGTTAAGAAAATGCCATGTACTTCTTAGGGATTTGCAGAACACAAGCTCTGGGACCTGAGGTTGACCACAGATGATTAGTTTATGTCTGTGTGTTTACTGGCATACAATGCAATAATTATTGCAAATCCAGTTATGATCTGTCATGTAAAGTATGAGTTAGACGTGACACATGGTGTGTTTCTATGCTTCTAAGCAATGTCTGAAAATTGCATGGGTACATTATATTGGAAAACAATGAGAAGACACAGTAGTTTCAATTTTTTGCACTGTATAGACACTCACCTCACAATAATGAGGGTATAGGATTACATACCACAGTTGTGTATGAACTATTACTCAACCTAGCACAATTAACAAAAACATCTTTGGTTCTGGAACCGCTTTCCATACACACATACCCCTTGTAAATATTTTAATTAGTATCATGGTTATTCTTGTATTAGTATACTTGAAATGAGTAAACATTACAGGTAGCAAAAAAAGAAGGAAAACTGAAAGAGTACTGAGATTCCTGGAGACTAAAAACAAAAAAAAAGCATTTTGTAGCAAGGAAGTGGAAACTACTAATTGATTGTGCAAACTTTTCAAGCTGCAGATCTAGCTGCCCATCTATCTATCCAGTGTCTGAGGGCTGCTGACACCGATGTAACATTTTAATCAGGAAATGGACTTGCAGACCCCTTACATATGCCACAAATAGCAGGAAGTGATTATTATAATGTATTTACTTAAAATAGCTAAATCTGAATCATTAAAAAGTGCTCCAGTGTTTTTAAAAGAAGTTTCCTGGGAAGACGACTCAGAAGAATGCTTAATAGATGTAGCCTACCCTTAAGCATCTAATGTTCTTCAGTTCTTTTCTATACTTTCCTCCATACTGGTATTCCTTGAGTTACGACAGTTCACTTAGTGACAGTTCAAAGTTATGACACCTACCCCCCCGAAGTACTTACGACCCAGTCCCAAAGTTAGGTATGTTGCAGCATCACAGTAATCGTTTGCCCTTATGGCTAACTGGCGAGATGCTACAACGAGCTCCTGCCTCTTTCTCCCCATCCTTCCTGCCACGCCGGGTGTCTCCACACACACTAGGCCTGCTTTGCTAGGTCTGATCCAGCTTGCTCCTCCCCACCCCATGTGGACCTCGCCAATTGCTGCCGCGGAGACAGAGAGATGGAGAGCTAGGTATGCCCATTTGCCACTGCCAGGGAGTATGCCTCAAACTTTGGCACCCAAGGCATTGCAGGAGGTGAGCAAGCACCTCCTGCATGTGCGGCATGGGACTCTCAGGCATGACCTCCCCCCCCAGCTGCAATGACGGGTTCACTGCAAGAGGCGAGGGTGTCCCGGGCTTCAGCTTGGTTTTCCCGCTGCTGCCACAGCCAGCTGTCCAACTACCCAGTGGTCCCACCTCCTCCTCCAGCCAAAACACTGCCAAAAAAAAAAAATGTTGATTGACTGCCTCTGCTGAGTTCGCACCGTAATCCCCGAAGTGGCTCTCGCATTCTCTTCCAGTCAAAACAGCATAAAAAAAAAAAAGAGCCATGTTGATTGGCTGCTGCCACTGCTTTCACGCCGCAATGCCTGGAGCCACTCATTCAAACCAGCCACCCAGCAGCACGTGGAAAGTACCCATGGCACCGTCCAGGACAGGACCAAACAACGCTGGCCTCAGGGCAGAAACCCCCCCCACTTTTTTTTTTACTCAGATGCTGGTGAGGCTGTTTTCCTTAGATCTTGCGTTCTTAGAGACGATTCCATTCTCTGCGCAAATACGTGTCGGTGAAAGAATGCAAGATCTAAGGAAAACAGCATCTGAGAAAAAGATGGCCACTTCTCTGCCATGCGGGTCGGCCTGTTCTGGAACTCTGGAAAGGTAAGTGAGTGATTGGGGATATGGAGTTGGTGCAGAAAAGGCCCAAGGAACCATGGGGACCCCAAGGGATTGCAAGTGGAGCATGAGATATTTCAGTGGGTGAGGGGAGGCCTTGGGTGGCCTGTTCTAGCACTAGGCCCCTCCACCACCACCCCACGGTCTTCCCCATCCTCAGATACCTCATGTGCACTTAACAACCTGTGCATTTGACTAACAAATGCATCGGGGAAAGCAGAAGGGGCTCATTCATTTAACGTGATACAATTAACGAATTCTCGGATTATGAATGTAGTTGACAGGCTTTATTACATTCGTAACTCGAGGATTACCTGTGTATTTTTTGTATTACTGTATTCAGGCCTTAAATGTGCAGTTTTTAAAATATTAAAGCACAAAAGCAGATTCATTCTCAATCAAACATTTCCCCCCCACTTCTTATTTTATATGAAACTTCAAAAACAAGGGCAAGAAAATAAAAAATAAAAAAAGAACTTGGTAGTCCTGTTTATTTTAACAGGCATGGATTCTCAAGCTTCAGCTTTTCCTTCAAAATGAAGGAAATGCTGGGAAAGATGTGTCCTCTTCAGATCTAGTCTTGCAATAATAGTAAGAGTGGCAGTTTTTTTTTAAGATACTGATATTATACTGATCATTAATATATGAGAAAAATGGGGTGCTCAGGCCTCACATCCTCATTAAAGGGCAGCTTTCTATAGTGCACTTCAATCCACTTGATACATATTCACCACAGAAAAGCAGCACTGCATTTTAAGTTAAATGTCTTATTTTCAGCATGTATTGGGTGGAAGAATAAGGAAATAACTTTTCTCAGTGGAAGAGAAAAACGTCCTATGGTTAATTTATATAGTTCACATATGATCCATATGTTCACCAACTCATCTCAATGATAACTACTGGAATGAAAAAAAAAAACCCTTTGTAATAACAAAAAAAAATCTATTGAACTAGACAGATCAATCTAAGTCACTTTAAGGCAGTTTCATGGGTTCATCTACCAACCAGGATTTGTAATAAAATGGGGGATGGAATGGCAAGCATTCATTCATCAGAAGAACAAGATTAACCAGGAGACTCAAGTTTCAGAAAAGGCTCACATTTTAAAAACCAGAACCACATTTTATTCCTGCAAGGCACAAAGTGTGCTCTTACAGCATCTAGTTCTCCCTATAAAAGGCTGCAAAAAGTTAAATGAATAATTAGGCACCTAAGAACTACACAGTGTTGGAGTAGCAGCCCTTCCAACTACGTTACTGCTCTTTGATGCGTCAGAACTATGTCAATTAAAAAAATATTCTATTCATTTACATCTTCAGCAGATACCCCAGCATATACTTAACAACTATTGATTGGTATCTTTGCTTTATATGAATTCGCCAATCAGATCAAGAACCTGAGAATATTACATTTTAAAGGGAAAAGAAACTTAACAATTTTGAAGATGGCATTTTTATTGTTGATCTTCAAAATTCAGTTTTCTACAAAGGAAAGCTATTTCTTGCCCTGAAAAAAAATCACAAGATCCAGCTATAAATTATTCAGCTAAAATATTAGGACCCTAAATCCTTTATAAAGATTATCTATACTAAAGGTTTCCAGAGAATACGGATGCAGTACACAGAACATGCTGGCTACATATTAAAAAGGAAGGATGCCAGTGCTTGCATGCCTTCCTTGTGTGGTTCCCATTAGCATCCAAGCTAATAATATGATCTGCTCCACCAAAACCTTTCTTTTGAAGGGAAACACAGGATTATAAACTTTGATGGAATGAGAATACGTTATTTCAGAGTTCTTACATAAAATGCAATGGTTTAAAAACCGCACAGCTGAGTGAGAAGATTCATATTCAAGGCTAATCCAGTCGTATGAGTCCAGAAAGAAACCGGTATTAGATAAACGTCACTCTACATACTTTAAGACATCTCCATCTCAACCAAAATATTTACCACTGCACTAAGCCAGTTACTTAATCTTACTGAATAAGTTAATTGGCTGTGTTCACAGACCATGATAAATCATTCATCAACATTTATAAACCACAATAGCTAGGTCTATACAGTATGATAAACATTATTGTGGTTATTTGGTTTAGGAAATTATATGCCCCTAGTCATTAGGATCTCCTAACTCCTTCAAAAGAAGTGCTTCTAACTTTGTGGGATTTCAATCAAAGCTCCTCTTTTCACTAAAGTAGTCACAGGGGAAAAACAGGTAGAGATAGCTGGAAACGACAGCACAAACTTGGCAAAAAGGTTTTTGTTTGATTGAGGAAGAGGTGTTTTGTACATAGCCTTGTTTCTGGAAGCAGCTCTTTCAAAGGATTTGCACAGCCTTATTAGCCTCTGTATAATATTAGTTATGGCTAGCTCTTCCTGCACATTTGCTTACTAACTGTTACTGAAACATCTTCTATGTAATGAGATGTATATATATTTGATATGTATCCATTCACTTACAAGAGAGCAGAATCAAAGCCAAGGCAATATATATTGATACCAGTATCAGGCCCCAGGAAAATCCAGAATTGTTTGCCTCTGTCATATTATTAAAAGCAAGCAAATTATTGGTTTCCTCAGTACTTCTGCACATCCTGAAGGATAAAGAAAACATGCAGAGTTCTAAAGTTTTGTCACATTGCCACAGCAAATTCTACTATACACCTTAAGATTGTCATAAACATTACCCTACAAATTTGCAGGAATATATTCACAAAGGTCAGAGATTTTACCTTTATTATTTGATAAAATGAAAGCTGTGGTTTTTCCAAGTATTTGCTTTCAATACTACATTTCTGTCAGGAATATTCACAAGAATACTCATAATTCTGAGCTTGTGCAGGCCACCTAAAACCAGGGATTATGGGCAGCCATCCAAAGAGGCAAAAGCTATTTCCCATTCCAAGTTCTTTATGCCTACAGCTGGCATGTCCCCAAGTCTGGGACAAGGTGGAGAACTGGTACTTAAGCTGCTTACGTCTGTTGTACAAATCTTTGGGAAATCACACAAAAAGTCTTGATTTGGGAGGTTCACTTGAAGAAAAGCTATTGAATCAGTACTTCCATAATGTCATCAAGAAACGTTCACAGATAGCTAGAAAAACAAGAGCAAAAGCAGACTTGTGCGAGAGGACGTGAGGTAAACAAGCATGTTCCCTGCATAGTAAGAAGTTTCCAAGTGGAAGTAGCATGCAGAAGGCAACACACACAAAAATATAGCATGTCGAGGAAGGGAGGATCTTGCATCTGGACAAACAGCAGCATGGCTCTTTTTTAAGGCAGGCTATCACTAGTTCATTCAAGGCAATTGGACATACCAATTTCAAAAGCTAAATACTTGCTAACCATGATCAATACTTTAAATTAACAATTGTTAGCTGAAGAAAATGCAGGCCCTGGCAATACCTCCACAAGGACAGAAATCAACCACAGCAACAAAATAAAGTAGCAATGCCAAAATCACTCTGTGTGAGCTGACACAGGAACGCATGTGACAGGTGATAGATAATGCTACTCAAAAGCAACAAACTGACATTCTACTGATATTTGAAAGAGACTAAACCAATCATATATGGAAGGCTTTGGATCAGCTGTAATACGGCCACAGTATTGCTGATAGGATGAGGACATGGACTTAGCCATGCAAGTGCTCTTAAATCTGGCTACATACAAGGGAATTTCTCAAAAGTTTTCTGCAGCCCTCAATGTATGCCACCCAGCATGTTCAAAGAGATAAAGAATGTCCTAGTGGATGTGGTGGGATGAAAAAAAGAAAAGAATGAATGCAAATATATGAGAGGTACAGTCATTTCACCCTTGAGGAAAACAGAGCACAAGAAGCAGCCTAAGCTATTTTTTTCTGAAGTGGTCAGTAGCAATTTCCATTTAACACAGCCAGCACTGCTTATTAATGTGTTGATGTGCAGTTCGGATTATACAATTTTCAACACCTGAGGTCTCAGCAACCAGTATGTGTCACTTTTATAAACTCCCTCCCACTCAGGCCATCTCAAGGCATTCTTCTTGCCTTCATAATGTAGCTAATAAATAGAACAAAACCATCTGCACCAAACAAAGCAAGCTGTGGGTTTGACCCTGCTTTCTGAGACGTCCAGAAGCTAGCAAGGCTGATGAGAAATTGCAGCGAGCCAGTGTGAGAAGGAAGGAGCAAGGCACAAGTAAATGGCAACTCTCCAGAGACTCAAAATCATCTGTCTGGGAAAGAGGAGAGGCTGGAGGAAGGCTTGAGTCTAAAGCCCTCCTTTAATGCTTATAGAATGAGATGGAGAAGAGAGCTGGCACCGGTGCACCCCACTGATGCATTGAAGGTGGTGTCTTGGTGGCATCCTTTGGATCTTCAACTAAGGGATATTTTCTGGAAATATTCAGGGTGCAGCACTTCAAGGAAGGGAAAGCCAGCATGAAGCGCTTATCATTCCGAAAAGGAAACTAGAGAGAGTGTAGACTTGACGACTGTTGTAACCTTCATGCTTCTTTCAACAATGGAATATCTGGAGGGAGGGAGAGAGGGAGGGAGGGAGAGAAGAGGATGTTAGATAATCTTTGTTTGGTTCCAGGTTTCAAAGACAACCCAGCACAGCCCTGATGGAGCCTGAGAAGCCTATGAGGTCCATCTGAAATACAAAAGTTCTTATTTAACCAGCCAAGTTTCTATAAAAGCTTGGCATTCTTTAAAACTTTCACTGGCAGTGTCTTTGCAAGGCTTTTCCCTTAGAAAGGCCCTAGAGTCTAATCATAAGAGCTTCTTTGGATTGACTCAGACAAGAGAACAAAGCTTATTTATTCTTCCCAATCTTGGGATCAGACTAAGGCTCCTTCTAATAGGGGGAACTGTACCAGTCAGAGACCGATTTTGCCCTGTGTCAGTTAAACTCCTAGTCGAGAGAAAATACTATAAAATAATTGTGCACTGTGTCATCTGGCGCTATAGAATAGGCAGATTTTAATTGGAAGAACTTCCTCCTTCTGTCATCTCTGGGGATGCCTTCTCATAGCTTCCATCCTGGAGGTAGAGTACCATGCCACTACCATCCACATGTCTCCAGTCATTCCACTCTCTACATAGTAGCTGGCTGTTTTCATGAGCCCTTCTCATTTTAAAAAGAAAATGCACCAGGGTTAGGGTTTTGTGGCCGGCCTGAAGAGAAACTGTCCAGTTCAAGCATGAACAACTCCGGGGTGAAGAGATGCTTAGTAATGTAGAAGTGCTGCAGAGAAGTAAGGGAGGAAGGCCTAAGCTGCCTTTTCAATAGGTATTAAAGTATTCTAGAGTTTAAAATGCATGAGAGTTTAGTTTTGGATTTCTAAACTTCTATACCAGAATAAATAAAGACCAAAGATGAAATAAATTATGCACCTTAGAACCCTGCATTAGTAAGCCATGAATGTAAGACTAGGGTTTTTCTGTTTGGTTTTTCTGTGTACTTTGGTGAAATGCACAGAAAATTGCAATTAAATCTATTAATGGGCAACCCTATGGAATTATTAAGGAGAATAGGTTAGGAAGGAGATCTCTGTGTGGAGTGCTACAGGGTTTGGTGCTTTCTTCACTGCTGTTTAACTTCTACATGAAGCCAACAGGTGAGATTATTCAATGACATGGGGTAGGAGCCATCAGTATGCTGACAACACCCAGCTTACATTTCTACTTTAAATGATGTTGTGGGGGGGGGGGCTAGTCTCAGTCTCTGGGATTTGGATGGGGAACAACAGGCTTCAGTTCAACCCCAAGCAAAGTTGAGTGGTTTGGGGTCTTGGGGCCACCTGGCTCCAAGTGTGGATCCTGCTGGTTTTTCACAAGGTCCTGAAAACATGGTTCTGCAATGAGCATGGGGACCTGTGAGTGTGATAGAGCCTGTGCCATGGCTGCATTGACAGTTATGGTCAGATATGACTACTTCACCTATGAATTTTCCTGTAAGTTTTCCACATGGTTATATATTGTTTTTAACTTGCTGTGTTTGTTTTGATGTTTTTATATTCTTTTTAATTGTCTGCGAGTCACCATATATTGAGATGGATGGCTATATAAATCAGATAGATAGATAGGTGATGGATAACCTAAAGGTTCTGGAACAGTTTTTCTCTTGAAGATTATGCTACTATTTCTGGATTCAAGGAATAAATGGAGCTTGTAGGATTTACATACATTTTTATTCCAGATATATAAATCCAGATTCAAAGACTTATTTCACATTACTTACCATCCATGTATTCCTCTGAGGAAGCGAGTGATAAAAGGCTTTGTACGTCACTGTTTTCTGAGTCTGAAGTCTCTTTGTGCCCAGTTTTACTACTGGACGTGCCAGCCACCCAGGAAGATGTGGTCGCCTGATGCACTAGAACAGTTTCTGAGTGGTGTGAGCTGCCAGCTTCACCCAATCCAGAGCGTCCAGGGGTTTCATCCTCCCTAATAAAGCCACTGGGACCCACTTCGTCTGGTGGTGGCTGTTGCATTTCCCTTGCCTCGCTCTGTCCAGCGCCTTCCGAAAGGACGATCTGAATCCGTGTATCTGAGGAGGATATGCAGTTTCCAGCACTGCCATAGACAGCTTCTTCATAAGATGGCAAAGCTACCTGAACTCCATCCACCATAATAGAAACCTGGTCCCCAGAAACACCTTGATCACGCCTGTGTTTGGAATTCAAAGAAATATTTAGGCACAATGACATAAGCAGCATTTTATGGAACAATAAAATGGTATAAATAAAACAGGGCTAGCAATCCTATTTATTTCACTGTTGTTTTAGAGGGAAAGGTATTAGTAACGAACCATATCTGGTTTCCTCCAAATGTCTTAAGACCACCATTTTTTAGAATTCTCAAGCACCATTTCAAACTGGCACAGCCATCAGATATTTAATGAACTGCAAGGTGAGAGCCAGTTTGGTGCAGTGGTTAGGGTACCAAGCTTTGACACTGGGATATTATGAGTTTGAGTCCCACATGAAGGCACAAGCTGGGTGACCTTGTGCTAATCACAATCTCTTAGCCCTAGGAAGAGATAATCTTGCCAAGAAAACTGCAGGCACTTATCCAGGTAGTCACCAGAGTCAACACTGACTCAAAGGCGCAAAAACACAAAAACACAAAAACCCCAATGTATATATAGGACATAAATGGGAGAAGGTTTTCATAATCCTAAAGTACATCAGAATATTCATTTTGGGATTATTTTCAATGAGGTAGGCCAATTCTTTAATGAGTAATACAAACTTTCCTTCCTAACGTGAATGTGCTTATGAAATTGTTGCTAACTAAGGTCGGGAACTAAAACTCCTGAACAAAAATTATGCTGAAATGAAGCCTTCTTGTTTAATACTGAGGGACTAGGCTAGGGTCTTCATTCCAGTTAAGACTGATATATCCCTATTATGTGCTTTCGGGTGCCCTTTATTCATTTAACATTACGTTAAGTTTGTTGAACATGTTACTTCAGAACTTTATATTGCCACTGTTTCATTACAATGTTTCCCTCACAGACAGTATTGGGCTTTAAAGTACTTTCCATGATCAATATGCCACTACTGTACTAGCTGGTGAGCACGAGGAGACCCAACCATGTTCCAGTTTAAAGTTGCAGAAATAGGTAGGGATCATTATAATCACTGCATAGTGAGATTTATCCCATCCCAGCTCTACATTCTGCAGGAAAAATGTCTGCCATCTTGTCAAACCAACTACAGTGCCATGACAAGGCCAAGTTAATCTGGGAACCAAAACCTCTTTGGTTATTTCAGTTTTATATTGGTCAAATTAACACCCCGCTTCTCTTTTCTCAAGAAAAGGGGATATATAACAATATGTGTAACACATTTCCTAAAAGCACCTCTTATTTTCTCAGTAAGGCTTAACCCAACAATGTAAGATAGGAATAAAAGAGAAAATAAGAGAACCTATAAAAATGTATCTATCACCACCTAAATGAGCTGCGCCAGAATTACTTCTATATCGTAACTCATAGCTTATAGTAATTGCACTATGGCTAAAATACAAGATGCAGATGAAAATATGTTCAGGAAGAGAGGTTAGATATGATATGGTTATTACATTTCAATGGCAAATTATGTTAGTATTAAATAAAGAAAGACAGAATGGCTTCACTGACAATCAATTTCCTCATGCTATCCTGGGCCCACAGTCAATTAAGGAAGAGTATGTTCTTTTATAACCTTATAAATTGTTAGCATTCTATAGATTAGCCATTTCTGCTGGGAGTCAGAACTATGGGTTAATTTGAAAGATATGGTCTGCCAGGTAACTGTGACACATCTAATTCTACTTACAGCAGTGGTGGGATTCAAAAAGTTTCATCACCGGTTCAGTGGGTGTGGCTTTGTGGGCGTGCTTTACACACATGCACACCAGTGGTGGGATTCACATTTTTTTTACTAGCGGTTCTGTGGGTGTGGCAGGGGAAGGATACTGTAAAATCTCCAGTCAGAGGTGGCATTTGCTGGTTCCCCAAACTACTCAAAATTTCCGCTACCGGTTCTCCAGAACTGGCCAGAACCTGCTGAATACCACCTCTGATGCACACACTTTGCGTGCATGTGCATGTCAAATGTGAACTTTGTGCAGCTGCAGAAGTGTTTGCGCAGCCGTAGAGGCGTTACAACTCACCTCCTGCAAGCCTGCACTCTCCCAGTTGCTTCAGCAGCTGCCACGTGGCACTCTTCTGTGACATGCAAAGCAGCTGCACTTCAAAAGCAGAGGATAAAGGTGAGCATGGGAGCCCAGGTGGGCAGGTGGGCCCAATAGCAGAGCTGTGGAGAGAACCGGTTTGGTCTCTGCTGCTCATTGCCGCTACCAGCTCGGAAGAACTGGGCTGAACTGGTAGAATACCACCACAGGCTTACAGGGACTTCATAATTAGAAATACTTGGAATTTTGTCTTGCATCCAAGCTCTATGCACCAAGCAACTACCTAAAAACCGCCAGACTCACTGGCAACATTACCACTATTATGCAGCCTGTGTTTCTTGCCAAAGTGTACCGAAAAAAAATGAACTCTAAATATCGCCAGGCAATGATCTGACGATTTCCTACAACCAAACACATTTCACAAAACTGAGCAAGATCTGAAAAGTGAATGCAATTTATCGAAGCCTATTTCAAACACGGCCATTTGATTTATAACACAGTATAAAATGTGTATAGTCAGACGTTTTCTGTAAGTAAAGTTAAATGGGCCCTAGAAAAATTGCTATGAACAGAGCTGCAGGAATTTGTGAAATATCTGTGGAACTATTTCATATTTTGCAAGGATGATATTCTAAAATACTGCCGACAGTTCAAATGGAAAACACAGCAGTAGCCACAGAATGGGAAATAGGGATCTGTATTTAAAACAAAAAGACTCTGCCAAGTGTTCCAGTTGCTCAAGCTAACAAATAATTGCATGTGCTACACACATTCGATGGATAACTAAAAAGGCAAGCCAGTCCCCTAAAAACCACTGATTTTTGTTTTATTGATTATATTAATATCTTTGCGTGAACCACAGTGAACTACAGATAGCTATTAAACACAAGGGCTGGACCACTGTATCTGAATATTTTGACAATTTTTACAACATTTAGGAAGCATCAGTTAAAATGAAATATGGAATAACACATTGGGTTCAAAATTGGGAGAGGAGTGTACCAAGCTTATATACCATCACCCTATCTTTTTAATTAATATGAAGAACATAAAATGAAAAGTGCTGGATTGGAAAACTTAAGTTGGAATTAAATTTGCTGGACAACCTCAAATAGGCAGAAGTGATATGACCTGGTGGATAGAAGTAGGGAAGGCTTAAGGAATTCCTTGCTAAAGTTTTAAAAACAGAATGGAAAAGCCAGTCTGATTCAAAATTACCAAAAATATATCAAGTGCGGAAGATCACCTATTGCAAGCAGGTGAAGCAGCAGCAACAAATACCGTGTTTCTCCAACAATATGTCCCCCCCAATAGGAAGTCCCAGCATGTTTTATAGGCATAAAATGAAATTAAGCCCCTCCCCCCAAATTTAGGCCTATTTTAAAACATGCGAAATGGGGGGGAGAAGGGCGGGGGGAGGCCTTGCCATTAGGAGCACCCCACGGGCAGCCATGCCTCGCCACCAGCCACTCCTAACGGCCGATCATGGAGGAGGACGGAGAGCTCCCTACTCCCGCCAAGTATCTTTGCTGCAGACCCAGGTATGGTGCTGCCTGCAGGACAGGTCAGTGGGCGTGTGGCGGCAACGTGGATGTCGGCCTTGGCGGGGCGCCTGCCGCCGCTACTTCCTCTTGGAGCATCCTCTTCCATTTGGAGCGTCACCGCCACGTTTGGAGCTGCCATTACATTTGGATCATCACCGCCGCGCTTGGAGCTGCCACTGCATTTGGAACAGCCGCCACTGTGTTTGGAGCAAACAGAATGCTCCAAGAGGAAGCGGCGGTGGCAGGCGCCCTGCCGAGGCTGACATCCATGCCGCTGCCACCACCCACCCACCCGAGGATGCAAGGGGGGGAATTAAGTCACCCCCCAAAAGACGTCGTAGCCATTTTTTCAGGGCTCAAAAAAAATAAGACCCAGTCTTATTATATGAGAAACACAGTACTATCTTCTTGGGTCAAAAATCCACAGGATTGGTTACTATAATTACAATTAAAGGAGCACCAGCTTCTAGGAAGCTATGATAAATCTAGACAAACTTTTAAAGTGTAGAGACATCACACTGCCAATAAAATTGCCTACTGTTAAACCATATGACTGTAAAGTTGGAGGATCAAAAAGGCTGAAGAAAAAAACAATGTCAGTGAACTGTGGGGCTAGAAAAATAAAGGACACTGGACAGCATCAGCATCATCCTAGCATTTTTCCTGCAGGTACAGAGTCCTCTAACATTGGATAGCAAGAAAAATAAATTATTCAACAGTATGGAAGTAGAATCAGCCAGCACACTCGAAGGACTAAATAAATATTTTTGCCATATAACATGTAAATAAGAGTTGTTGGAAAAGATCCTGATACTTGAAAATAAAAAAAGAGGCCAGAACTATCACTAATATTGCAAATGAGAACTTAAAGACAATTATAGATAAACAATTCCACTGGATCACAAGATCTTAGAAATAACCGAACAGTCTAAATTTCATAGCTTCTTATGTAAGAGAGAAAAGACTACTTGGGTTAAACATAAATATTACTCTTTTGATTACTATCTTAAGAAAGCAAAGCATGCAAGGCAAAACAGATGGGGCAAACTTTCCATGGGAATTCTTCCATGAAGAAACAAAGTAGTGCTTTTACCATAATCCACCCAAAGAAAACACCACAAAGTTTTAATCATTCATTGAATAATGTTTGTAGGATATAAGGGGCATGCAACCTTGAAGTTGCATTATCTTCTTCGTTAAGAGACATTTCTATCTTGAATCAAGTTTTTTTTTCCCGGCTTCAGGTATAAGAACAGAGGGGAAAAAACTACGATGTGTCTACTGCTTGATAGATCGGCCAATTGTTTTAAAAAAAAAATTAGACAAGTAAGATTGCAGGAAACTTTTTTTTTCCCTCCTTTATCTCAAGAGAACAATACACAAGTAGTCTGGGACTACAGAAGTACGTACAGTCTTAGCAGTGACAACTGTTCATTTTAAATAAAAATCAATGAAATCTCCAGCCTAATTAAGCCTGTTTACAAAACTCCCTCTTCCCCCAAAGTGCTGTTTCCATATTGTGCTTGCCAGAGTAAACATACTGACAACAGTCTGTGAGCTCAAGGAATTCCAAGCTTCCTCCCAGCCTTGGAACTTTGAAGCAGGCAGGGAGCAAACAAAGCACAGATCTAGTTTCCCAGCTCCAGGAATGGAAGGAAGGCCAGGGGTTCGTTTGGCTTTTGAGTAACAGAGTGTGACAGGGATGCCTGCCTTGACCATATATATAGGTAGCCTGGAAAACACAACGTTTTAGTTTGGATATTTTGAATCCCTCCAATAAGTCTCAGGTAAAGTTTCTACTAGAAGAGACCTTGATAATTAGGATCTATTGAGAGCAATGTACTTTGAAAAATCCTCATGGAAATAAAAACAGAATTTGACCAGGTATGTGTTACACCACAGAGTCCAGTTATTCCTTTGCAATAGGATTCGTGATTGTTATCTTCAAGATCAAAATGGAAACAGTTTCCCCAAGGAAATATATAATTTTTTTTGCCTAACAGAATGAGTTCCTGAAGTATAAAAAAGAGATTGGAGGAAAAAACTCGAAAGAAGATTGTAAGGAACAATCAGAAAAAGGATGCATGGCTTTGGGTCAATAAAATAATGAGACACATGTCACCATACTGTACTTAATAAGCATTTACTTCAAGAGTGGGGATTCTGAAACTTTTTAGATATTTCCAAACAACTTCTAGCTTCCTTTATCTTTGACTGGCATAGCTGAGGATACCAAGAACTAGCAGTGTTTAAACAGGTTCCCCATCCAAAATATATGCATAAACATCTGCCCCTCAAAGGCACCTGATGATTATGTCATCTTCCCAAGTAGCTTCTACCATCAACATTTGGATCTATTCTAACCTTTTAGTGGTTGCTGTACAACTGGCATAACTCTTCTTGTGCTATCTCTCAGGCTTTTCTACAGTTAGGTCAACTGTAGCATGCAGTGTTCTGAGAACACTGGCCATTAATTTGCATGATTTAGGCTACTTTGGACATTGAGTAGGTATACACACCACTAATCCTAGCAGTTTACTAAAGTGAGCAGCAGCATCAACTCTAGCAGATATAGCTTTCACTCGATACCCAACTAGTTACAATAGCCTCTTCTGCTTAACACAACCCCCACCCCCAAATCTCTCTAACTGAAGAGACTCCCCACAAATTCCGAAGAACTCACCTGCTGTGATGAAATGACTTCAGTTTTGGTTGTAGCAAAACAAACAATACAACTAGGAGAAGGATGAAAGCAACCGAACTTGCTGTAGTAGCCACTATGGATAAGGTGGGTACTCCTACACTTGGAGGAGAACCTTTATCTATGAAATCAAACAAACAAAAAACAGTCAATGGCTTCTCTTTGAGGAAGCAGATGTTTCCTATAACTAAGGTAGAATTCCCGAATAAGCTCTCTCCTGACAGTAAGCTGTTGGCATAGGCCGTTGTCTTCTCAGAGAAGCCTGGTTTGGGTGAAGTCTGCTGCAATTACATTCAGAGAGAGACATCCTCAGAAAGACCATACCTGGTGGTCGAGTCATGTTCCTTTCAACCGAACTCCCAGGCTATCTGATAACACCCCAGGCTTCTTGGTTTAGGTTAACTGAATTTAAAATCATTTGGAAGTCAAAACTATAATGAATATATTCAAGATGACATTTTTGAAATTTATTTAGCTCCAAGAGGAAAAGAATAAGCAGCTGAATTATAAGTTTGAATATGACTGTATGACCAAATCAGTATTACTGGAGATTATAGGCCAAATGTTGTGGGAACATTCCATTTTCAAGTCAAAGCTTGACAATAAGGAGATTGGTATTTCTCCTATTATGTTAAAAGCTTTGTTTTTAGAAGGTAAAAAAAGTCCCAAGCTCAGTTTTTCCACCGAACATGAATATTTCAGCTTCAGCATTCATCTGGCCTTCAGGGATTTTGTTTTTCCCCCATAAATTTCTATTAAGTGACATCTACTCCTCTCCTACTGCTGCTACAGTGCCCCGCGGTCAATTAAACTTAGCAAATATTTTCTTCTCTTTTTTCCCCCTTCATATTATGGGAAAGGAATTCTTATCTAACTAAAAATCTTGCAGGACACAATTGTTAAGTTGCTTTTGAGAACATTCAAGAGAGTCAAGATGGGGCAAAGAACATTCACTTGCAGCAAGCTATTATCAAGTTGGATCGAAAATCCCTTCCTCTAAATATAATTTAATAGCTATGAATTTGCTTCATTTATCTGTCAAATTTGAAAAATCTGAAGCTACCCAACTCTAGAATGGCATATAATATTAAAATAATAAGCCTATCATAACCTACCAAAAAGAGATACAAATTTAATTTATTCAATTTAATATGGCCACCTACTCCAGAAGACATCCAAAGAGAGCAATAGAAATATAACTCTCAGTCACCATATTTCCCAAAAGAGGGTTACTACACACTAACCCAGGATTTAGGGAAAGAGTCAAGTCTTCACAGCTAACTTAAACATAGTCAGGGTCGGGGGCCTTTAATGCTTTGGGATTATATTGTGCAAAGAACCAGGCACTGCAACAGAGAAAGTGAAGCCATTCAAGTTTATACCTATTCAGCCTTATGCCTTCCACATGTATTGGGCGACAATATACAGAATTCTCAACCAACATAATCTAAAGTCTTCCCTAGTCCAGGAAATAGTTAGATTTTTTTTTAAAAAAGAAACTTGATCCTTTTTCAGAATTAAGAAACTTCCGAAACCAAATTCAGAAGCAAGCAGTCAGCATGTAGGCGAAATACCTTTCTTTTATTTTTATAATCACCCCTTCTTGAAATGTTATGTGGAAATTACATTTGCGTGTTTGCAGTATCGTATAGGGTAGGGGTCCCCAACCCCCAGTCTGTGAACTGGTATTGGGCTACAACATCCCAGAAACTGGGCTGCGCAATAAAGTGAAGTCCCATCCACGGGATGCAGGCAGGACGTGAAACCACGTCCCCTCCGGTTCACGGAAAAACCTGTCCACAAAGCTATTCCTGATGCCCAGAAAGTTGAGGGCTGCTGAGACAAGGAGTCAGAAAAATTGCAAATATTAGGGAACACTTCTGTATCTCTGCAAATTACAGTTTTCTGAATTACAAAGGGAATATACTGCACAGTGGAGTCCATCAAATGGCTCATTTGATTGTGCTGTTGCTGGAGATGGGTGAATGGTTATTGTTTTTCCCATACTGTATTTTTATTGTTTATAAGCTACCTAAAGTTGCTGTGAGCGAATAGGTGGCTATATACATTTTCTAAGCAAAAAAAAAAAAAGGTAGCTAAATTGGTAGAGAACTGAAATAAGTTTGAAATAAAGATTTCTTTTTAGAGAGAATCTATCCCAATACTCTCCTATGGTATAGCTAGGATTTTATGTCAGTATCTGAAAACAGTAGACAAAAAAAACAGCACAGAAAGCAAAAGTGAGTATATTCACTCAGATATACTGACCTTGGCTAAGTCTACAGGTAACCTCCAGTTCTGGATTCCACTTGCCATTCTTGCAAGTCAAATATTTGTAATCTCCTTTCAATACATAACCTTTGTCACAGAAATACTCTATGACACTGTCAGATGTCAGTGGGTCTTTGCAAGGCGTTGGATGACATTTGTAACCTCCATTCTCAGGTTTGGATGGCTGTGGACAGTCTGCAAAGGAAAACAGAAACTATGACCTCAGCTTTTAAGCAATAAATCCTATTAATGTGTACTGTTGTAATTTACTGCTCAGGTGTCGTAACCCAGGACCATAGCATCACTGCATTTCAACAAACAGTGAAACATAACAACAATTGGCATTCTCATCTTGCTACTTTGAAGGAGATTAGTGATGAATGGTGGGTCTCCATGATGAAGATCTCCATCTTCATCTATGAAAATAGTCATCTAATATATCCTGTAGCAGATTCTTTTACGTGTGTGTGTGTGTGTGTGTGTGTGTGTGTGTATTGTTTTTAGACTGATAGACTGATTTAGCCAGAAATCTTTCCTAAAAGGATTGTTGTTGCTAAGATTTAGTTTGTAACTAATGCTTCTGGTGACCATCACAATTATCTCAACTCATTCTAGAAGTTTGTTTTAATTGCAATATGTCCATTCAAAGTCATACATTCTCAAGAGATAGCAGGAATAGGAAGACAAAGTAAAAAAATAAAAAGAGGACATGACAAGGCAATACATGGACTTTCCATACATTCATGTGGGCATACAGTGATAGCCTATTTTATATTTTGCAATCTGTAAGCAAGTATGAATTGCTAGGAACAGAATTAGTGAAGAGAACACAAATGTTCTCTTTTGAGAACCATGAATGAGCGTTCAACAAATTTTGACATTGACTATGCTTATCCAAGTCTTCACTCAGGAAACAAGGTCAGTGGGATTTATGAAGTCAGTTAGCTTCAAACAGTGATTTAGCCAAGACCAAGGTAAATAAGAATGTGAATTTGTTGCTTTATGTAGCTTAAAACATTATACCCATCCTGATCACCACAAGCTAAAACACAGTTGGCTTGGCACAGCAATTGGTAGGTGGATAGAAAAGATTGAAATCCATTCACTCTTTGAAGAACTGGGAAAACTACAACCGGGTATAAACAGCTACCACCCATCAATATTGTTATAAATATGAAAATCTTGCAACTGTGGAAACAGAATAATTTTAATTCTAAAAACTTAATTTTAACATTTTAAATTTTATATACTTTTTTAAAATTTTGATGTTTTATTGTATACCACCAAAGTTCCTCTTTGAGGCAGATGACTGATTTAGAAATGTGAAAAATAAATAAATACATAAATACATAAAACAAAACTCTGCAATGTTAAAAACCATCAGTTATTTTAAAAATAACACCATAAAGTGTATTCTAGTCCATTAACATGTGCATTAGAGTATAAGCATTGTGTACTACAATAATCAAATGCACTAAGAACCCTTTTTGCATAGTAAGTATATATAAATACACTCCTAACATACAAGTTAAACATCTAATAAACATAGCTGTAAACTAGAGAACGTTATACCATATTGTATTTGCTAAGGTGCCATATGTTTGTGTTAGTAAATTAGTAAAATTAAATTAATTGTGTTCCCCGTTCTAACTCTCCTTGTCTCCTTGCTAGACGTTTTCATAAAATTCAGGTGTCTTCAACATGCTACAATCTGTCCCAAAGTGTCAGAATAAGACTTTGGAAGATATTTTGTGATGAAATCCAAGATTTACCTAGATACATCTTTTTAAGTAGATGGATAATGAGTTTTAAATATAACTCATTTTAGTTTCTATTGCACTTTAATAGGACTTTTAATCAATTAAGATTCTGCTTATAGTAAGCCCTCAATTTAGCAGACAAAATTCAGTGGATCCGATTACAGATAGGAACTTTACCCTGAACAATGAACAAAATCCATCACTCGGCAGATCAGATATTGCTGCTTCTGCTCAAAAAAGGTACATTCACAGACTTATAAATAAAGCACAGGCGTGTTTTTATACTTGAAAAATCCCAATTGCCATTTAACAGATATTTTTCTTTAATAGATTAATATTAAAGAAATATCTTTATTTGTCTTTAATATTAACCAGTATTAATATTAATCTTTAATAGATTCTTCCAAACTGAGCGTGTATGTAGTTTTATTCTGAACACTAACAATAAAGAACCAAGTATTAATTGCTCCACTGTGGTCTTCTTCATATTCAGTGCTGATTGAAAAATTACTATTTCTCTATCAAGCGTTCATAATAAACAAGTCTTTTTGAATATACTAAAATGAATAAATAAGATCACATTCAAGATAAAGGGTTTGTCTATGTAATCATAGCTATACATTTATGTAATTAGATTCAGTTACATACACAGAATAAAATGTGCCTAATCATTTCAAGCTTCTTCAAAAAAAAATTAAACAAAAGACATCAAAAGGGGAAAAAAAGACTAATTATAGTCTTGCACCAATGCAGCCACCAGCTGGAGATTCACAAAAGGCACAGAGTTGAATTACCTTAATTAACACTCAACACAAGGATTAGCACGTGCTCATTAAACCTCTGCCACTAAGAAACCATGGAGGAAGCTGTGCCTTAAACAGAACCATCAATTAAAATGTTTTTTTGTAATATGTCTGCCTTGCCAAGCTAAGGCTATACTGTATATTCAGCAATAGAGCTCTCCTATTTCAATAAAATCTATATCTTAAAAAAGCAATAGTAGTATCCTTTCCGAAATGGAAAAGATATCCATTTCATATCTTAGTATGATTGTGGAATGTAACAACATTTTCAGATAAATAACTTGGCAATTATCATAGGATCAGACCAGAAAGCCAGTGCTAAACAGCCACATTCAGACAAAGAAAATACACAATATTTAACTCAAATGCAAGCAGACAGGCCTTTAAAAATATCTGAAGCTCTCTCTGAGAGAAGCACTTTTTGAACAGGCAAAAATTGCCTCCTCTCCCAATTATTATGTCTACCCGATCTCATTGACAATGATGTTTTATTTCCATTAACTGCCAACAAGCTTTTAAAGCTAAAGAAGAGGGAACAGCAAAAATGAGTTTCATAGGCAAGTGTAGAAATGGTGAATATTTTGTCTCTTTAGTAATTATTTGCAACACAGAATGTATTCTACTTAATGTAAATCCTTCTATGTAACACAGCAGATTGTCTAATTTCAGTTTAAAAAACTGGTTTAATTTGCAGAATAAAATGGGTGGGTGAATAAGGAGCCTCTAGGACATGCCTGAACTAACTTAAATTCTTTTGATGTAATATGAGCAGAAAACAGCTACAGTCCTTTTAATTTTAGTTCATTCTTAGAACATGTTCAATAACATGCTGAAAAAAAAAAAAAAACATGCCGGCGATGCTAACAACTGTTCCCATGAGAATGAGAGTGGTTGAAGAAATAATGTTATATGTCACAAAAGATGGAGAAAATATTCCTGGATTATATTTATTGAAGCCTCTCGTGCTGTTAAAGAACATGAAGTGATTATCACTATGGCACTAAAGAAATGGTCTGGGATTTCAAATCAGAACAAGTGGAATCAAGAAAGGCAGAGACCTTTAGGAAGGCTTTGAGTACTCAGCACACTATTTTCCTGAAATATGCTGATTATTTTCTGATATTCTAATGGTCTACAGTAGGGGTGTCAAACTGGCAGCCCATGGGCCAGATGCAGGGGTGGGCTGCTGGGGGTTTGCAGGGGTTCAGAAGATCCTCTTGCTAAGATTCTGCACAGTTCAGAGAACCCCCAAATCCCACTCCTGCCTGGTCCCGCCACCCCTCCCCTCCCAGAGTTCCCACACACCCCATTTTGGATGCAGGTAAGTGCAGGATGAGCGCAGAGGCTCAGGGAGGGTGAAAAACGGGCCTCCTGGAAGTTTGGGAAGGTGGGAAACAGGCCCATTTTCTACTTCCAGAGAGCCTTGGAGCCTGGGGAGGCCGTTTTCACTCTCCTGGACCCTCAAGGAAAGCCTCCGGAGCCGGGTGAGGGCAAAAACACCCCACCCCCACCGTGGTGTAGGAGGCCAACTAAGCCACCATGGACACGCCAACCCAGCAACTGGACAACCCGTTGCTAAAAATTTTTAAGCCCATTCCTGGCCAGATGCATTATGCACAGGCCACGCCCACCCCAGATCCACAAAGGGGAAAAACATCATGATACGTCACGTGACGCCATGGATTTGACATCCCTGGTCTACAGAATACTGACACTGCTGGAGGTGTATAACAAACTTTCAAACTAAAAGCTGAGAAACATATAGTTTCTGAAGTCAGAGTAACAGAAGGAGAAGAAATTGGCACTGAAAAGGTAAGGATTTGGAAAAAGTGGGTGTTTCAGTGAAGAGAACTGGAAGAGCAGGATTAAAGAGATCAAGCCCCAAAAGACTGGAATTGTTCTGATGGAGGCAGATGAACATCATGAAAGATTCTTTCAATTTAAATTTCCAAAGCACACCTGCACTTAAGAGCTGCAGCATCCTTCATTCTTTTGTTTCCTTAGTAATCCTCAGATAACATTGACAGGTCTCAACATTAAACTTTACTAAAAACAGAAGTGGTAAAAATTATAATAGATTCATGGATTTTGCTGCCATGGCTACATAAAACCTTTAACTGTAAACTCAACATTTGATATTGCCAAGCTTTTGATTTACAATCTAATAATTGATAAGGATACCTAGTTAAAATAAGAGGAAACATAGTTAGGAAGCAGAAAATAAATAAGAATGACTTATAAGTTTCTAACAATTCAATGATAAACTAAAATTGCATCTATATACATGGACATCATCAGACTGAGTACACAGAAATCAAATTGGTTATATATTATTGCAACATATAACTGGCGGTTTTAAGAGCAAAAATGTGCTTGGAGCTGACTGTGGAACAAATCAAAAATAGTTCATGTGAAAGTTCCAATTTAAGCTCAAGTAGAACAAAACGAACCAGTTTTCATGATATGATCTTGATCTTGAGCATGTACACATGTTTTGAAGGAAAACATCAGGAATCATTTTAAAGTCCTGAACCTCATTAACAGGAACTGTGGAATGAAATCAAAGAAGTTGTTTAGGATGAATGTGAAAAGAGACGGCCAAAGACCAAGCATCAAAAGAAAATAAACTGGA